CCGCGGGTTCAGATCCTATATAGGGATGGCCGGTGCGCTCACTGGCTGAGCGTGGTGCAGCCAGTCACCAAAAAGACAAAAAAATAAAAATAAAAATAAATAAAATCATGATTTTAACATTTTTTCTTTTATTTCTAACTTTTGCATGTTCACTTTTTTGGCTGTTTTTATTCCTCTTTTGAGTGCCCCTTATTTTATTTTCAGTCAAATCTCTTCTCCTTTGGGCACCCTGTATTTCACTCTTCATTTCTGAGAAGATTTTGTGTTGTCCTTGCCTGAGTTTAATTATCATATTTTCCTTATCCGTTAGATATCTTGACCATCTTTTTCGTCTGTTTCTATTCTGAATTATAGTCACCCTTTGGTATCCACAGAGTTTGGTTCTAGGACCCCTGCTGATACCAAAATCCAGGGATGCTCAAGTCCCTGATTTAAGGTGGCTTAGTATTTGCAAATTACCTATGTATATCCTCCTATATACTTTAAATTGTCTCTAGATTACTTATAATACCTAATACAATGTAAATGCTATGTAAATAGTTGTTATACTATATTGTTTTTTATTTGTATTTTTTTATTGTTGTATTGTTATTTATTTATTTTTCAAATATTTTTGATCTGTAGTTGGTTGAATCCACAGATGCAGAACCTGTGGATATGGAGGGCCCAGTGTATTACATTTCTGATTCAAAATGAAGGTGTTTCCCTCTGCCCATGTCTGCAAATTCTTGGTTAATTGGTATTAAATTCGTATCAGGGTGTTGTGTCAAGTATGTTTCATATGTTTCATGGCTGTTTGGGGAGGGAGTATTTTCATCACCTGACCAGTTTGGATGATGCTACCTTTCTATTTTCTTCTTAATTTTATATGGATGTAATTTGCCATTTATCTATTCACTTTTAAATTCCTTTAATTACCCTGCTCTTCTGATGTATTTCTACTTTAGGGTAGGGGAAGGCAGGGTTTAGATACTAGATTTCTTAACTCAATACTACCCTCTTCTGGTGGTATACTGAGTGCAGTTGCTAAAGTTGACTAGATCAAGCCTTTTATTTTGGAGGTGGTGTTTTATGGGATGTCTGATTCTGCAATAATATCTTATTTATATAAGTCCCTTAGTTTCTGCTGTTAGCTTTTTTTCTCTTTCCTTTCTGCCCAGCCTCCAAGGAATACCTCACCCTTCCAAGTACCTCCTTCTACCCTCAGAAACCTTGCTCTACAGAACTGCCATTTCTGGTCTCATGTGCTTCCAACTTCTTGTTTTCCCTTCTCCACTTGCCAGTGTTCTGATCCACGGGGTCTCAGATATGTTCTCAGTATTTCTCCATTTATGAACTGTCCCGTTTCTGGGGGTAAGGTTGTTTGTGTTCTACACCACTGGAAACTAGCTGTACCCTCCTCTGAAGCCACCTCTGCTGGTTT